ATTTTGTTCAAACATTAGGCAAGGGGTGCAATGAGGAACATTAGTGAGGAGAAAAAGCAAAAAGCACCATAGAAAACACTAAATTTCCCTTAGGAGGCCGGCCGTAGTACGACGGAGAGACACAGCGCTGCGAGGAGAGGGAGAACGCGAGATAGTACGTCGTACGCGAGAGGACGCAGAGACCACGTATGCCGTGGTGGATTACGCTGGCAGCGCGGGCAGCGCGGCGGGCAAGGCCTTAGCGCCATTGCCGCGCACTTTTGGGTCGCGATAGTGTCGCGCCCTCAGTGCTTGGGGAGCCCACTATCGCACCCTGGGAAGAACTTCTGCTGGTTGCCTAATCCTGACTCGTGGCTTTAATAGAGTTTGTTGAGTTCAAAGGAAGTGGTCACGGAAATTTTTATGGAGACGATAGGGAAAGTGACATAGTGGATTGGGTAGGGGTCCTACCCAATGGGACGACAGGTGACGCTTCAGGGGCAGTGGCGCCTTATCAACGGCGTGATAAGGCGCCGAAACCCACTTCCGGTTCGGCGTTGCACCTCCTTATCAGACGTGGAAGGAGATGCAACAGCAGCGTGCTAGATGGTTTGGCTCTTTTCCCACAAGACCAAGCTACACCAGCTGCAACGATGTTATGCTTAACATGTGCAGCTATCTACTTCTTTGGAATACCCAGAACCAGCTTTACTGCGGGAAATCATGATCTTGGGGCATTGACATAGGAACTTACATTGCAAATGAGTTGCAGTTGCCACTATGTACTTAAGCACGGTTTTAAATGGGTATTGATTAATTGCGCTCCAAGTCAGCAATCATTCTACAGAACTCATGGAGCGAAGAATAGTGGCAGTTTGCGGCAGGATTGTCGTGATCAGCACTGATTGAATGTTTGAGGCAGTGAATACGATCACAGGCGGGTGGAGCAGTTTTGATGAGGTGACATCGTAGGAGGTCACTGGTGAATCAGACTCCTCACCAAGCGCGGTGGGGTATGGTTGGGACACCTCGCAATGTCTTTCGCGCTGGAGCGATTGGCATCCAATGAGCTCATCAAAACTGCTCCATCCTCTACACTTCGTTCCGCAGCTTTCATCTCTTGAGTGCCATAGAGGAAGATTAAGATTTGAAGAGCACTAAATACGACAACCGCATCTAATTTAGAACAGGATGAAGAAAAGTACAACAGCCAGATTATCTCTTTGCTCGGATTCTACGTGTAGAACCGTTCAACGAAGTAAAACTATCTCGAAACTGGTGCTAGGCACCAGACCTGAGAACGCCATTAAGGGGATTCTATGAGCTCACTTTGAGAAGCCATGTAACGCACCTTTTAGGTAAGCACATCTCAACGACAGGTTCTTGCTGCTTGACGTAAATGTGTTGCTGAAGACGAGTCACCGGACGGAGCAGAGGACGTGGTTGGGAATGACTCGACCACACCATGCTTTCACCCTTCTCCACATCACGGTGATGTCCTATCAATCAGTTATCACTCTTCTATTTTCCGAAAGTCTCGTGTGCTGTACCACTTTCTGTTTTAGGTAGTTCAACTGGGAGGCGGTCATATAGTGCGATCCTATTGCATTAGAGCGCACAGGCCGCAAATGCCCCATCCTGCTGCGGCCGGAACTCGTCCGTATCACTCAACTACTAGACTTCAGTAATTGATCGATCTGATAATTTGGGTCTCAAAAATCTCGCTGAGTCCCAAAGATCTAAAAAAGAGCGGATAGCTTCGCTGGCCTGATGCCAAGGCAAGAGGAACGGAACAGAATGTGTTGCGCGGACGAGTTGTCCGGCCACAGCAGGACGTGGTAATTACGGCCTGTGCGCTCCAATGCCAATGGGATCGCGCCATATGACGCACGCCCATTCCACTCGTAATTTCCCTGGTGGCTGTCTTCAATCAAGAAAAAAGTTGGAAGATTGAACAACATCATATTCTTTTTCTCTTCTCTCCTTCGTTACAACTTATCACAATGGAGAATTCTACATCCATATGTATGTCTAGTCCGCGCTGCTGAAAAATGTTCTGAGAACTCGGAATTCGTCGAAAGGGAATGGGCACGCATGGAGGGAAAAATTATAGTTAAAGAATAATGGGGCTTTGTTAACAGCGGAGATTACAATGAGAGGCATTAAGGTAGATGTGGTCAGGGTGCATGAATGAAGGAAAGGCTATGAGAAAAGGCTAAGAACCCGAGAAACGGAGGCCTCTTCCTTGTCCATTGATTTCCAATCGACTCGCATTGCTGCCCTCTTTAACTCTAACACTCTTTCTGCTAGGCGGCCAAAGCCAGAGGGCGAGGGGTGGAGCGGGCGAGCGGTGCGGGTGTGCTCCTGCTAGGCAGCTCGGTATACCCTTCACGCGCATCATCCCGCTCCTTTAACACGTTGACGACCGTGTGGTATGATGTCATACCACACTTTCACATGGAGCAGACTAGTTTTCCTTGATTTATTTGGCGTTTTTTCTGTTCCACAACGGTCCATGTACATTATTGGATCCGAAAAACTATTTTTCATTACTGATAATGAAAACGCTGAAGGATTAATGCCTATTGATGAGAGAATACGAAAAATGTTGAAGCAGTACGCGCACAACGGCGGTCGTCAACGTGTTAAAGGGCTCGCGGCCTTTCGACCAGGTATGTTTCCCCTCTTTCGACCTGTGACGTTATCTTGGATTTCTCTTTTAAACCATGTAAGGGCAAAATCGTTCAAATCCATATGTATCTAATCCTTTTTGGCAAATCTCCTTGTCAATGCGTATGCATTCTCTTTCGTGGATTTGCCAGATCCCTCGAAAAGTAGCTCATAAACACGGTTTTATTGCCGTGTCATAATGCGATTTTGGAGGATAGAGACATTTCGATGGATAGAATAGGATAGAGTAGAAGTGTGAGATGTGAATGCAATAAGTCAAAAGGCCAGAAAGAGTTTCTAGTGAAGGCACTCCAAGAACCAAGTGGAAGCATCCCCGTCGCCAGCATTGTGACAGATGTCCGGCGGTACTTTGAACGCGTAGCAGCCCTTTCGGTTTTTCGAATTTTTACCAAAACAAATGCAATTTTTCTGTTCTTTTCATTCTTATCGTGGATGATGGGTCTCAAGCCAGGCTGAAATATAATCATGGTTTTTCGGTGAAGGATTCCTTTAAACACCGCAAGCGGTAAGAATCTGCAACGACAGGCAGCCTTTTGAGCGGATAAGCTAACGCATTTTACAAAGCAACACATTGTTTAGCGGTGGAACCTGACGCTCCACCGGTTGCCCAACTTTACAGTAGCCGTACATGTCATGCGCGCGGTGCGCAGCCAAACTCGTTTCATAAGTGAGGCATCCAAACAGCACATACAAGTAATTTCCCAGACTAGATGTGGGCGTCCCAGCTAACAAGGGAGGTCGTTCAGGGTGTGCCAAGCTTTTTCAAAATGGTTTCTTGCATGACATTGGGGCACATATGGGGACCACAGAACCATGGTTCATTTTTCCTGAACGGCCCTCTGAATACCAGAAAAGGGGTCCCTAGTTCGATTCCTCGTGGTGACAATTTTTGCATTTCGAGTTGACGTTTCCAAATTCGCGCAAATGGAGTTAGCATGAATAATTAGTACCAAATTCATGATTAGGACCGTCAGTAACCCTTACAAATAGACTTTGATTGAAAAACTGGTGAAAAAGGTGTGACTAGGGACCCCCTTTTCTGGTATTCAGAGGGCCGTTCAGGAAAAATTAACCATGGTTCTGTGGTTCCCGCATGTGCCTCTATATCATGCAAAAGACCGTTTTGAAAAAGCTTGGCACACCCTGAAACGACCTTCCTTGTCACTCTGGCTCCAGGGAGAACCGTTAACCCTTTGACAGCAGTGGCACCATACCACTCATTTAGATGTGCGCCCACCATTGTGCGTGGACATCGGCACCCAATGGTGGGTGCCACCTTAAAATTTCCTTCTTTGGGCATTAAAAACATTTGTAACACCCCAATTATTATAAGCAATTCCATAATATCTATGCCTAGCACGACTTACAGAAATATTCACTGAAGCTAATTTACAATTTGGAATTTTGGAATGTGCCATTTAGCTCGCCACCATATTAATAAGGGTTTTGAAAATATTAGGCCGAAGATTAATGACTAATCAGGACTTCTCGTCCTTCTCATACTTAGATTACAGGAAGGTCTGAAGTGTGCCGGGAATCCTTGACACTTCGAACTTTTAGAGGTGTTGCTTTTCCCCTGCATAAAGCGCAGAGTTCCGTTCCAGATCTTCTCTTGGAAAACAATTTACAGTATGAAAGCCTAGAACTGCAGTTATAACTGGTATACTGTTAGAGTCGAAAATTCTACAGAAAAATCGCTTTAAAGGACAATTTTGCCTAATTGTGAGCGAGAGTTGGGCGCGCCAAAAACAGGCGTGGTCCCAAGAGCAAGCTACGTGCAAACCCGCATTGTCGTCAAAGGGTTAAGCACCGTAAGCATAATAATGACACCAACTTCAGCTAGTTGGTGGATAAATCTTCCACGATGACGTTAGAATTTGTTACTGTTTATTGATCTTCTTTTTGGAATGAAAAAATGTATAAG